CAAACCATTCTGTGATTCTATGAAAAAAAACGAGAGTGACACTTTCCCCTGACCTCTGAAATAACTGTAAACTCTGTAATGATAAAATAAAAACTAAAACAGAGGAACGCTGAAACAGGAAATGATAGCTTTGATTCCTCTCTTCTATCAGTGACAGAAAGACTCTGTCTGCAAAATAACAGTCATATATTTATTACTCACTAGAATGTCAAATGTCACCTTACATACTTAGTTGGAAACATTGTAAATAAATTGTATTCTAGTTATTCTGGGAATAAGTGTCATGCCGATCACTCCTGATGAGTAAGGGATCTTAAAAGGAATGAACACTATCCAAATGAGTTTATAGGGCAAAATGCTAGGAGAAGGGGAAAAGAGTGGCAAAATTTCATATCATTTTTTAATTGAAAAATATATGCTTTGCTGGTCTGGCAAATCAATTTTCTTGAGAAGTTCTTACAAATGGAATATTTAACTGAACTAGTTGTTTCACTGTTTACACTGTTGTAGTGTAAAAAGGGAATCTGATTGACGAAAAATGCTAACAAGCCAACACTGCACAAGGCAAGAAAGTTCACCTGATATTTCATTGCTATAACTTACAGTGCAACTTAAGTACACTTAATACACATATGCATCTGGATCAAGGAGAGTATATAAGAATATTAAAATGTAAGTTAATGAAATATAATATCAAAGTTAGATGCTTCAAGTATCAGTTCAGGCAGGAACACTTACATTACATATTCAAGTATCACACACACTTGCCCTACAGCTAAGTGCAAAACTGTGATGAATTACATATTCTAAGATGAGAAGGCCCACCACCATCCAGCATACATGCTCCAAGTCAGTATATAAACCTTGTGACTCCAGCACTCATCTGAGACATCGTCAGTTGCAATTAAATGACAATTCTCTCTTAATATTTTATTCCCCTGGCCTACTATAGTAAGCACTTAGCTACCTGAGGCAAACTGAGATGCCCAAATTGAAAACTGACATTAAAAAAACCTCCTAAATTAGTGTATACCTGATATAGAGGCATTATGAAACTGTTTTGGTTTGTTTTGGGGTTTTTTGCCTCTAGTATTTTGCTTCTGCACAAGACCAGAAGTGTTCCAGCCTGAGCAGTGTTACACTTATCTCACATCTAAGCCTGAACAAAGATAGACCAGTTATTCTAGGAGAAAAATTGTGGTATTGTAGTGATTCTCTGAAAATACTTAAAAAATATTTGCTCCACCATAAAAAGACATTGTGGTCAATGAAGAAAGACAGGTAGACATGAAGGATGCATATTACATAACAGCATTAACAGTAATAGCATTAAATCTAGAGGACTCATCTTGGAATTTCGAAACCTGATTTTCATTCCTTCCTTAGCCAAACAAGTTCAAATCCGATGTTCTCACCTCTTATGAGAGCACATAGTTACTAGCTTTGTTGGTTGAGGACAATTGCCATCCCTTTGTCAAATGTATACCACTGTGCAAAGGAATACACTAACAGGTTGTAACCTATCTCCTCCTTCCGAGTACAAATTTCACTACCACTTTTTCCATCTTGAATGTAATAGCTAATTTCTTTGTAGTAGAATACAGATTTTTAGTTAATGACACACAAAGTCTTCCTCTTTACACTGTTTTGTAAATACATGCATTTACTGAATGGTAACGTAACATAATTGTGCACATAGACATAATGCAAATAATAATACTCAGGAAATAACAAAACCATACATATCCAAAGCAGGGAAAAAAACAAATATAATGAGTTGAAGAAGCATTGGTATTTTTCCTCTTACCTCCAGAAACTTCATTCCACTCAAGAAGCCACTTTAAACTGCAGTCACAGGCCCATGGATTCCCATGAAGGTAAAGATTTTCCAGCAGCGGCATGCCTTGAAACATCCCTGCAGGCAAGGTCCTAAGAGCATTTTCAGATAGGTAGAGATGTCTTACTGTGGACAGTTTGAAATAATCAAGGACCATAAATGTTGAAAATGTGTTGGGGTGAAGCTGCTGGAGCAAATTTCCTTCTAAGTGCACCAGTCTCAGAGAAGTTAATCCAACAAAAGCATTTGGATGAATAAACTCAATTCTGTTGTGGTCCATGTGCAGTCTCATTAAGCTTGGAAGTCCTTGGAGAGTTTGGCCAGTTATGACTTTCAATTTATTGTAACTAATTTTGAAAACCTTAAAAAAAAAAAAGAGAGAGATTTTGTTTTTTGATCTAATCCAAACAGAGCAGCATGCAAGCAGTAGTTTTCCTTCCGCATTCAAATATCCTCTGCACCGCTGAAAAATTATATGCTGGTCAAAGAGGGAGAATACAACTGAGCATTAGTTGGCATTACCAAGTATGACATAGGCATAGTTAATAGATCTTCAATATATTCGGGGGGAAAATAGTATCTTAATCCTAAGAAAGACACTACAAAAAGACACTACTTGTCTTCTGTTTTTCATGGAAGTTAGAATTTATTAAATCTAGGAAGAATTGAGCATTACCTGTAGAGACACAAGATCTTTCAAAGCACCGTTAGGTATATTCTGAATGTCATTTCCATGTATCATGAGCAATTCCAGTTTTGTAAGTCCTGCAAAGGAGTTTTCATATATAGACTGTATACTATTAAACCTGGAAAAAGACCACATATACAGTTAGATTTTATGCATTGAGTGTCCTGGACTGTAAATGTAAAATTAGTATAACCTAACTTTCAGGAAAAATTGGAGGAATCTGAATGTATTGTCAAAGGGCCAGAAGTTACTGAAACATTTTTACAAGGCCAAGTATACTTAGTTCATGTTTACGTTAAGATTTCTTTTAACTCAATTTATGGCACTTTAGACATAATTTAAGAGCAAGAGTAATAAATAGGCGTTTAAGTTCTAATAGTTTTCAGTGTGTTTTTCCATGCAGCTCAGTTTATGGAACGGTAATAAATTAATGGCCCGTAGCCAACCAATGATGCTATGGAGCCTGGCAAACTACACAGGGTGCAGTGTCGCCAAAACAGCATCTAACAATAAATGAATAAAGATTCGGAGAATGGACATTAAAAATGGATATCTTCCAAACAGCACAAGAAGCAGGAAGTCACATCCTGCTTCACTTACTCTTAAAACACGTAATTGGCTACATCAACTAATTACATAAGATCTAGGAATTGATCTTCCAATTATATAATTTTAGCCTATAAACTCCTTTTAGAGAAGGAATACAGAAAATCTACTTTTTCAAAACAATTCAGTTTCACTTCAGACAATTTTTTTTTATTTGCCTATATGGAAGTCTTAAGTTTGGCAGCCTAGTTCTACATTTGGGTTTTCCATATGTAGACATAAAACTAAACGTATGAGCTAATCTGGGCATGAAATCTCTAAATTAAGGACTGACTTTTAAAGATTTTTCCTATTTTTAAGACTTTCTAGAAATGAAGGGAAGAGACAATGAGAAATAAAATGCTTTGAATATGAAGGAAATACTTTTAGATCCTCACCACGATATCTATCTGAAGATTATTAATCTTCTAAAAATTTAGACTACTGTTTTGATATTTTTAGTCCTACTACAGACCTACTAGGCTTATAGCAGTGATCCTATTAAAATTCCTTATTTTACATAAAATTCCTTACATTTTACATTATTTTTCTAAAAATATAAACTTCTCTAAACAAGAAAATTTCCTTAAGTATTTCCAGTTAGGAAAACTAAATGCGCATTATGTCTATGTGCCTCCTAAATATATAGCATCTTAAAATAGAAACATGGTAAAAGCTCTTTTCCAAAATGAAAGAAATGCAACAACAGGGACAGTTAAGTCTGTTTCTTCCTGGAAAAGGACACAACACAGACAATGTCATTTGTACTGATTAAATACAAAGATAGGAAAGGGCTTTTACGCTAGCAGCATTAGACAATGTGGTTTTACTAAGAAACAGACAAAGCATCTAAATAACTTAGAAGCTTACATCCCATTTTCAAAAACAATTTAGGGATACAATTCGCCACAGAATGTTGACATATAGGGGAGAGGTGATGGTGAATATATGTGGGTTTGAATGTGGGAGGAGAGGGAGGCATTTTTGACTCAAAAATGGCATGAAAGTAGAGATTGTTTTACTACAGATTTGACAAGTACAAGGGCATTTTGAGACTAAAATTAGGATTTAGGTGAATAAAGGGCTGGTGGATAGACATTTTAACTACAGAGAAGTGAAAAAAAAAAATCAAAGTCCCTACTGTCAGTCACTGCATGATCAATTGCAGCTTACAGGCCTTGGGACAGCTGGGGTGAGTTCATACCAGGTAGTGAGGCAGCTATGACATCAAGCAGAAGGGGACTGAGAACCCTTGCACCATGCCATGTCACATAATGACCCTACGCAGCACTTTTGTGACATGCAGCCTACCAACTGTCCCTGCCTTCTTGTCTCACAGTCTAGTAGACAGATGTGAGTTGGCAATACTGCGGCAGAGGAAAGTGAGATGGAGGTCTAGAAGTCTCTCCATAAAACATGAATGTCTGCTTGTATTGAGCTTAAGATCCTTGATAAAAGCCCCACCTCCAAAGGCAACAGAATAACTGTTTTTACTGTACTGTGTTAAGATATGCTATATCTCATTGTTCTCTAAAATGCTACCTGGCTACAGTAGACAATTTTACTCCTACTATATTTTTTTACATCAGGTATAATATTCAGCATTTAGTAGAAGTCCCATAGCAGGTTTAATTCAATAAAGATTTTTATACATTATAAAAGACTGCGTGTACTATTTGCCAGGAAGAGCCGACACCATGATATTAATATTTATTCAAAAATAATAGTAACTTTTCTTTGAAACATGAGGGATGCACTAAAACCTTCTCCATGCCAGTAACTGTAGTGTTTGAAACACAGTGCAAGCAACCACCCACCTCTGCAATTCCACTTAAAAAGTACATTCAGAGATCCCTCTATTCCACTCACGTGTGAAGCATTCCAGGATTCTGCACCAAGAACGTAAAAACTATTTGCTACAAATTGCCATACAAACCCAAAATTGATTCTTTCCACATGCTTCGAAATCCTTGCCGGCACGGCTGCTAAGGACCGAAAGGTGCAGTGGACTTCGGTGGGGAGGTAGCAGGCGCAGGGG